CGTCAAGACGGACTTCAGCAGTTTCCAGTGTATTATGTTAGCAAGGCCCTGCATGATGCAGAGTTACGATACCCACATATGGAGAAACTCGCCTACGCTCTGATCATTGCTGCACGGAAATTGCGTCCATATTTTTTGGAGCATTCAATTGTTGTGTTCACGGCATATCCCCTCCGACAAATCCTTCATCGACCTGACACGTCGGGAAGAATGATCAAATGGGCCATTGAGTTGGGACAGTTCGATATACAATACCGGCCACGAACCGCTATTAAGGCCCAAGTATTGTCTGATTTTATCGCTGAATTTACCCCCGCTATTGATTCATCTGTCAAGGATCCGACGTGGACTCTCTACATTGACGGATCGTCTACTGCTATACGAGCCGGGGGGGGAATCGTCTTGGTTAGTCCCGACCAGCAAGTATTTTGTTACTCTGTGGCGTTCACTTTTCCAGCCACCAATAACGAAGCCGAGTACGAGGCCCTTTTATCAGGATTACACTTTGCCGAGTCCATGAATGTCTCTTCTCTTCGGATATTTTCCGATTCCCAATTACTAGTCAGTCACATCAACGGCACTTACGAAGTAAAGGAACCACGGCTGATTCCCTATTTTGACCTTGTTAAAAAGAAGCTGACGCGATTCAAGGTGACACTGGAGCACATACCTCGGTCATCTAATATCCAGGCGGACGCTCTTTCACGACTGGCTTCATCAACCGACTTGGATAACGTTGAATTTGTACAAATCACTCAACAAGCGACCTCGTCTACAGTCTCTACCGACGTCGCTATGGTTGACGCTACCTCAGTAACTCCGAATCCCACATGGATGGATCCCATCATCGATTATCTCCGGACCGGGGCCTTACCTGAAGACTTGAAAGAAGCTCGTGCTCTCCGTGTTCGTGCTGCTCATTATACCATCGATGACGGGACGTTATATAAACGCGGGTATTCAACCCCATTGCTTAAATGTTTGTCAGAGGAAGATGCCCAGCGAATCCTGCAAGAAGTACATGAAGGAGTCTGCGGCACCCACCAAGGAGCTCGAGCTTTGTCTCATAAAATTCTCCGACAAGGCTACTATTGGTCTACCCTTCGGAAAGATGCCGCGGATTGGGTACGACGATGTCACAAATGCCAAATA